AATTAACTGGAAGATTACACATATTTCTCTCTTCTTTTAGATCTTTACTCTTGGCATTCTAGTGTCAGAACAGTTCAGCATTCCCACGCTAGCTCCCACTGTGTCACTTGAAGCAAGAATTTCAAAAGAGCACAGCATGCAACTTGTCTAGCTCTCAGCACACTCAGCCCCTTTGTGTATAATGAGTTGGTCAACAGTTGCACTTCCTGTCTCATTCACTAGCATACTACCACATCCTCTTGCTAATTTGGGGGCAGCTCACCTGTACACTTCCTCGGGCTTTCCAAGAGATTTTACCAGTAATGGCAGCAGCATCTCAGCTGAAACCGAAGAGGCAGCAGGCAGGCAGGCATATGTACAGAAGTGAGGAATGGGGGAGAAAGAAGTGTAATACTGCTCGCAGATCCACCCAAAAGATCCTAAGTATCACACAGCAGAAAAACCCTTACATCTTTAGAGGTTTTAAAGATTTTTTAACTACGTTGTGAACTGCTCCATTTTTTAAATCAGTCAATTATTTTAAAAAAACAACAACAACAAAAATCACATAACCAAAAATCAATCTCAAATTGTCCCTCTAGTATTTTCTGCTTGCTTCTATGCAACAGAACCTTTGCAACGTGATGGGAAGGCCCATAAAAATCACTTCAGTTTCCAAAGCTTCATGCATACATTCATGATGCAGAACCCTGACAGGCCAATAAATTAAAAGGCAGCAAATTGAGGTGATCCAAGGAAACAATTTCTAATGAAATGTACAAACACACTACCACACGATGTTATTGAGGCAATAGCCATAAGTTTCACTGCTTATGTGAACAGAAAAAAACTTCTGCCGCTATACTAATATGGACAGAAATCTAAGGGTATGTCCATGGAGACTCTACTATTACAGCTATCTCTGTGTAACATAACCAGATAGTGTAAACACAACCTACACTCAGGGGCGGCTCCAGGCACCAGCGCAGCAAGCGTGTGCCTGGGGTGGCAAGCTGCGGGGGGCGGCCTGCCGGTTGCTGTGAGGGCGGCCGTCAGGCTGCCTTTGACGGCATGCCTGCAGGAGGTCCGCCGGCCCTGCTGCTTCGGCGGTAATTCGGCAGTGGGGACGCTGAAGGCGCGGCACTGGCAGACATCCCGCAGGCATGCCGCCGAATCTGCATGCCCAGCGGACCGCCCGCAGGTGTGCCGCTGAAAGCCGCCTGACTGCCGTGCTTGGGGCGGCAAAAACCATAAAGCCGCCCCTGCCTACACTGACAGAAGTGGGTTTTTTTTTCTGTTGGAACACCACCTCCCCAAGTAGCAGTATCTACGCTGACCAAAGCATTCTTCCATTGACATAGCTGCATGTACACTGGGCATTAGGTCAACACAGCTAGGTGCTCAGGGGTGTGTTTTTTAACTCCCTCCCCATCCCCGACCAACATAGCTATGTTGATTTAACTTTTAAGTGTAGACCATGCCTAAGAATTATCAATCTTTATGCTTCATGGCAATGGTTGATCACCTGCTGGGGTCAGGAAGAAATGTCTGAGGATGGTGCATTAAGGGTGTGTGTGTTTGAGATAGGGGAATGAAAGTAACAAGAATTATGCCTTCCTCTTAAAAAAGCAATACTGGCCACTCTCAGAGACTAAGTAACATACACAATTTGCCGCTGATATCTTCTTTAATTCAATTCTTATGCCACTACATATTTTTAAATAAATTCAGGCTCTACATTTTCATTAAAGAAAGGAATTAAATCTGCTATTTGTAAACACTATTGTGAACTTACAGGAAAACCCCAGCTAATTCACAGATCACATGGGCTCTCTACTCTGTGAAATATGCCAATGTATGTGTGGCAGAGGAGTCACAATGGGGGAGTTAGGAACACATGGTGAAAATTCATCCCTGCTGTGCAGTTAGTGGAGTTACACCAGAGCTCAATTTAGCCCAGGGTACCAGCATTATCTACACATTTTCTGATACTGATAATTTTAAGTAAGACGTTTAACATTAAATGTAGTTTTGTTTATTTTACCTGGGATTTAAAAAATAAAATTCCTGCAGATTATAACAACACAGGATTCATTTAGCTAAAACACATGTGCTAGTTTTAGACAGAAAGATAATTGAATTGGTCTTCAGACTCTTCATTTTAAAAAGCATACATGTACAAGGATCAATACATACTAATCAGTAGGAGCAAGGCCGTCCTGCTACACTGATCTATTTGGACAGCCCCCCGTTTTTGATATATCTGACTTCTCCCTGCTTCCAGATCTATTTTTTTTTTAAAGAGCATCCCTGACCAGACTTATGCACAAAAGTGATGGCAAAGAGAGTTCTCTTGTGCATTTTAATGCCAAGGTTGGTCCACCATTGTGGTTGGTTCTAATAAATCTGTGGTTCCCTGAAAAGCTATAAAATTGGGCTATTTTCAGTAAAGCCCAAGATTCAGTGTATGACCTTCTCCCTGATCAATGTTTGAAACAGCTCTTCCATGCCAGATTAGGGAAGATTTTACATTCACTGGGTCAGGTCCTCTACATCAGTATAGCTTCATTGTTGCTAATGGAGCCATGGGGATTGACACCAGCTAAAAATCTGGCAGACACGGAGAGAGTCGGAAACATATCCAAATCTGGCATATGTATCTTTTCACCGTGAGGAGCTCAAAGTGTTCAGCAGAGTTCACAGTCAGCCTACACCACCAGCTAGAACCAATGTGGGAGTTGTGAACATCGCACTGTCAGTTCTACTTGTCCCTAACATAGTCCTCAATGAGCTGGGGGATCCTGCAGCTGCAGGTTTGGCAGGACTGTCTAAACTGGCTCTGTCCATCAGGTTATTATAATCAGCTGCAATTAGCATTCCCACAGGCTGCAATGTTCTCTACCTTCAGCTGAGTGGTACCCAGAAACTTAAAGGTGTGAAATTCTATGCTGGCTTTGAAAATAGCGAAGGAAATTATAAGGAATTACTTCTGACCTGCTCCTTACAACTGGGTGCCACGCTAACCAGTGAAAGCAAGAGGAGAACACATTGGCAACAATCAGAAATGGCTCTACAAAAACAGGGTTTGGTACATATCGCTGAAGGATCACTTCCAGCAGACATCAATAAGACTGAGTTCCACTGTAAATGTTACTGTATGTGACCAGATGCTGGATTTTTATTGCTGATGAACTCAAACAACAAGCAATTTCTAGCCACTCACTAGAGAAAAGACAACTACAAGCTGTCAAATAGTTTCAGCAACAAATTACCTATATTTAGATGAAAATTCCTTCCCTGGCGACTGCACCTTGATGTGGCGGGAAGGCTTTTGTGTCCTAGTGACCAGAGAGCTATGCAAGCAGGAGTTTTAACTCCTGGTAGGGCTACCCAAGCTGGACAGGTCAAAAGGCATGGACCAGATGAAAAGCAGCACACTGGTTAGGGGTTGAGCAATACACCAAGCACCTTTCCTTGGAATAAATTTAAGTTATAGAACCACAACAAGGTAACCGTTCTGTCAAACAGCCTGATACATGGGGTGGTGGAGCCTTGTTCGTGCCCTAAGCGATATCTGACGCTACAGGAAAGATTCAGATTCAGACACAAATAGGTGCAGCTTTCAGATACCTGGAAAATGGCTAAGAAGGCCATGTTGTCATAGAAGTTGGTATACTCAACACAGCACATTCGGTACAACTGTATCTTGCTGCACCTAAAATATATTGACTCCGAAGGTTTAGGTGTGTGACTCAACACCTAGATACTATGCAATTATGGCCTCATTATAAATAGCAAAGACAAAGGAGATGCAATCCATCCCTAGGTGCTTTGTAAAAGTGATGATTGACCCAGTCTAGTCAATAGCACCAAAGTCCATTTGGCTGTCTCGTATAAGAAACGGTTCTACAATTTTACATTTGTTTGCAAACTTAAAATGATCACCTCCAACTCCAATCCACTCCCACACCCTCCGCACTCTACCTCTCCTCTTTACAGTGATAGCTTGAGAAAACCCATTTGATTTGTTCTGATGTAAGTATTTTTTTATTTTGCCTCATGATCAAAGCTAGGAAATTCTATGCCAACTTCCACTCCAACCATACATCAGGGCTGAGCTACAAATCCAGTGGAAGTAAAGATTTACCCTAGAAATGCTGATGGACTGTTAATTGCAGTGCTTCTGCTCTGAACTATTTTCCAGTAGCAAAAAGACTCCCTAAAGTTTGGAGCTTTTTACAATACACATTGTATATTTTTCAGTCCTGCCCCCTACAGTGCTTTCAACTTTCTGTTTAGCAGAACCCTGGAATTTTTGAAATAACCCCATGAAGGGAATGGAGCACAGACTGAGCAAATGAGAACCCTCTCAACATTACTGATTTCCTGAAAAATCAGCACATTAGATTTCGGACATGTGGATTTAAGGATTAAAAATCCCTGGATTGCTGCTTGCTTTCTTCTCTGCTCTGAGCCGCTTCTCCTTCCCCTTCTTGTGAAGAAATCCTCTATTTTTTTCTCCAGATAATTAACATAAAACATGCTGTGGCAATGTTTCATAGTCGGATTATTAAAAATACAACAGTCCCTCTGATGATACTTTTTTAGAAAGTACAAGGAAGCTGGAAGAATTTGCCATATGTATATAATTGATTCCCTGCCTAGTGGATTTACAAAGCATGGGATTTGGGAGTAAACAGGTCTCTTCTGCAAGTGCTCTGCATGTGAAACCGCTGAGTTCTCCTCCTTACACACATCTGTGTGAAGGATTACAACATTTCAGAAGGTGTATCAGGCACCCCCTTTACCCCCCAAAATACCTAGAGCAAATACTATCTTCCCATGTAACCCCCCAAGCCCCTTAACAGCCCACTCCCCTCCTCCTCTGTAAATTACAGCTCACATAAATAGTGATGGGCTAGTTTCAAGTGGCACATGTTCGTGTTTTTCCCCCTCTGCTGTCAAACCTGATGGTAGCAAATACACAAAAGAGGCAGAAAAAGCAAAGAGGAAATTCTTACCTTTTGAGGGTCTTCTTTGTCTGGTTTGTAGAGAAGAGAATGTACCCATTACTGCACCCATTGCAACAGCTACTTGTGAGGGTGATTTTTTTTTGTTCCTCCCCCCACCCCCCAATGAACCACAATCTATTTGGGAAAAAAGGGAAAAAAGAAAGGAGGAGGGTAAAAGCAAAGCACTGCAGCTCAGCGTTCAGCAAGCGTTAAGCTTTGAGATTTTTTTTTTTCAGTCAACACACATGCACTGACTCACAGCCGGCTGCACTGTTATTATTCAAAACAGCTCCCCATCAAAATTTAAATGCTAGATAGATTCCCTCAGACCAGAGCTGGCAGCAGATGCATCAAAATATTTACTGGAGCACAGCCACATAAACACACAGGCTAATTCTTCCTCTCTTTCCCTTATGGCTCCAACCAGCAGCCTGTAGGTCTACAGAGAAAGCATCAATGCATCTCTTCCAGTGCATACTAAACTACAGTTCTGTAGGCATAGTAAGGGTCTCGGGAGGATGCTAGGGACCTGGGCTCTGTACCAATCATGAATGAATGAAAATCTACTCAGTGGAAAATGATAGTGAACTAGCTGTCAAAGTCGCAGCTGTATGGAATGCACACTCCTGCTGATTAATATTGTCATATAAAAAGGTAGAAAATAACATTCTGTTAAACTCTTCTGAGGCACAGGATCCAGGGAAAGGAAACAAGTGTGCAACGGGGTGGGGGGAGCAGATAGTAAATTTCAACACGGCCGCTCTCCGTACACCTTCTGACATGTCAGATGCGTGGGAAATGCAGTGGCTGATAACCTAATTCTGTGCAACTCATAAAGCGTGCATATGTGTGTGAAAGAGAGACATACTCTTAGGATATTAAAAACAGCATATTATTGAAGCAAATGCCTATGAGTGTCAGATTTTTCTCGGTGGGATTTTTTTTTTCCCAAAAATTTGATCCAGGACATAATATTTGCTACATTAAGTTACATATATTGCTAGGTTTGCGTTGAACATAGGGAAAGGGAGGTAGAGAAAGAGTTAATGCCTCATCAGGTACCTGTCAGAAGAAGAATTCATTTGGTATTCACAGATGGTGTCTTAGAGTAAGGCAGCATCTGTGCAAATATTGCATTTGTTTGAAGAAATTCATTCTTACATTGCAGACTAAAGTATATTGTCCCAAGAGGTTTTCTTTGCTTTCCTGTAACTTCTGAATGAAGATTTCATCAAATTCAAACCTCAGTGCATCTGAAAATTAGAAGTCCTAAAAAGCCATTTTTACTGGGGATAAAGCATTTGGAGAGTTAATATTCAAATGCTTCCAACCCTGCATTTCTTGCATGCACATATATATGTACATCCCTTGTGTGCATCTGTAAACAGCTCTCATTTAGTGCTTGATCACAATACATTCATGGAAAATAGAGAATTTTGTTTGTTTGTTTGTTTTACAACTTAAAATAGGAGCACTTGTGCATTTTAGTGGAGCATCTTTTTTAGAAATAGGACCTTGGTATCTAAGCACAACCCTAACTGAAGGCACATCAGAATTGACAACAGAAATTGGGTTACTGCACTGTTTCCCATTCCATAAGGGTGTGTCAAGCGGCTGGGATGTGTAGTATGTTTGTGAGCTCACAAAGGTGTTTTTTATTTGCACCTATTGTCATTCACACTTGAGCTCTTCTGGCACGTTGTCCCATAGCTGAGATCCTGGCACTGATAGATCCTACCATCTGATAGTCTAACTCTGGGTTTCTCCAAGCTGCATTGTCCTGGAGGACCATACCTGTCTCAGAGGGCCAGGGAGAGCATGGGAGCTGTACAGTTCTCCTTAAGGTACACAGAGTTTGTATTAAACATTTAAACCGTTTTTATTTAAATATTACCTAATTCTAACAACAGCAAAGTAAACCTGGTGTTCACTGCATCTCCCAGCACTCCAGGGCAGGGAGCATGATGGTAGGTCTTCCTAGCCACCTCTTTGCAGAACAATAACTGCTTCACACAGGTGTCTCTGAGGTAACAAGATCTCAGTGTATTCAGAGCTTTACGTACACCGGGATTTTTAATTCTGGCAGAGGTCGATGTATTTGCATCAACTTTTCTTGCATAGGAGATGCACTGCTCTATGCAAACATCATCAGGCATCCCTGATCAGAAACATGCTCCCACATCCACCAGGGAAGGAGTAACATACACACCAATAATTACAGGGCAGTTACTGTAGTCATGAGTAACTGGTGCCAAGAACCTGGTGCTGCTACCTATGAAGAGCTAGTTGCTCATGTGGTGCTGGTTCTCCACCTTATTTCCAGCTTCTTCTACAAGCTTCTAGGCTCTTCAATGGAAACAAGGAGGAGCCAAACTAGCTGCCTTTACCGGGAGCTAATCCTACACCAGAGAAGGAAACAAGAGCTGTTAGCATGGACTGGAGCTGCCAGCCAAAAACTACAAAATAAAACCACAGAGTGTTCAGAGGAATAGGGAGAGATGACAACCAGGCTGAGGAACAGATTCAGACAAGAAGGAGACCAAGCAGCAGAGAAGCATGGGCAGCACGAGAGAGGAAGTGAACAGATTGGAGTGGGAGAAGAAATGAAGAGCAAAATGAGTGAGATTAAAAGATTAAGAGATCACATTTTCTGGAGAGGTGAAACTACAACATTCAAGACAGTTACAAATAAACCAATAATTTACTAATATTAGGTCCCCTCAAAAGCAGCTTCTAGTGTTTCCACAGGGATGCTCTGTGACGGGGTAGGAGGAAACAATCTCTTCAAGGTGTGGTTTACCCAATGAAAAAACTAGGAGAATTCTTGATCTAGATAAAGTTGTTGCTTTCCAAAATCAATGAGCAATTGCTCCTGTCACATCGTTCAAACACGAAACCACACACGAGTCTACACAGTGAGTCACCCGTTATGAAAAACAACATTACAAATGTAAGTGCTCTAAAGTGAATCGTCACAAAGAGCTAAACTAATTATAAAGAGATGCCACAAGGAAAGCCAGATGGAAATTAACTCACTTCAGAATTCCTCCTGACACATATTGGACCCTGTCCAGGAGGAAAGCATAACACATCAGCCTGCCCATGTGGAGAAAATGTGTGGGAGAAGGGGATGTTGGGTGATAGGAGACCAGCTCCTGTTGCTGTATGCTGGTGGGAAATAGCAATTGGGTGCTAGGCAGAATGGGGGAGACAGTGTTTCCTATACTCCCCATATTCATTATTCTTTGAGACTAGGTTTTTCTCTTGGCTAAGAAATCGACACTGACAGCTTTTAGTGAAATAAAGCCATTCCACTGAAATGGGGAAACCAGATTCTGTATATAGCTGATAATTGCAGCCTTTGATCGTGTCATGTGCAATGTATAAGAGTGGCAGGCTATTAGAACAGGTTCCCAGATCATTATGTCAGAAGAACCCTCTGACACACATGAACCCACAGCATAAGTCTCGTAAAAGCAGGACCTCGAAGTACAAGGACACGCCAAACTCTAATGAATTTCTATGTATGGCATACGGACGTAATAGGCAGAACATTTATTTCTACCAAGATGAGTTTGGAGATTTACGGACTCAAGAGGTAAATATTTGTTTGCAATTTGATAAATGCTGATGTTCACCTCACCAGTCTACAAATGTATTGCTGCATATGTTCAGAACATTTCCAACAAAGATAAGTGAAAATCTCTGACATGGCACTGCACTTGAGAAGTATAGCAGTACTGGTTTTTTAGTTAACACCCTATATGGCAGATGCAGTGAGAGGTTCAGAAAAATACCTTGCTGATCCTGGCTGCAGCCAACTGGGAAACTCTTATTTGCATACTGTGATCTAATTGGCTAGCATTGTTCCAGGCCTCAGTAACTATTGCTGGTTTCTTCAGTGGTCGGTACTGACCAGTTGCATGACTATCCTACCAGCTAATATAGCACCAACAATATTATTCTTACACACTATGAAACAGTATTCATGATATTAACCCCTTTGCTGCATTTAACATG